TGTGTTCTTCAGTTCAGAAATTGTATTCTTCATTTCCTCTTGGCCCTTGTTGAGAGTTTCTATTTCCTTTTTCATGTTTATATAGTTTGCAGTGAGGTTGATGTAGTTTCCCTCTAATTTCTGATAGCTCATTGTGAGTTCATTGAACTTCCTGGTAATCATTATTTTGAACTCACTATCAGATAGTTGAGTTGCCTCTATTTCATTTAGCATTTTTCCTGAGACTTCCTTATTTCCCTTCAATTGGGGTTGTTTCTTTGTTTTCTCATTGTTCATGGGTTTCTTCTTTTTTCTTCTTGTTTCTTAAATTGAACTGTTCTGATTCCCTGAAATTATGGTGTGAACTTCTGAGGCAGAATACTTGTGAGATTCAGTGGTGCAATCTCCTTTGTGTATCCTGGTGTTCACAGCTTCCCCCTACTCTTTTTTTGTGATCAGTTGGAGGAGTAAAGTGAAATGGTTTCAGACAGCAATACAGTCTACTATGATATTTACATTAGCAGCCAGTAGAGAAGAGTTGGGTTATCCTTTTGCTCCTTATAGTGTTAACCGTGATCCTCCACCTCACTATCCACATTTAGAAAGGATGGAAAGAGGGTAAGACTCTTATTGGGGACGAGAAGATTGTTAGTTGTATCTAGAAAGCTGTGAGGCTGTGGGAGGTCAGATTCTAAGGTATCTGGATTAAAGATTAGTAAATAGGAGTAGTGTGTAAAAGAATAGAGACAACCTCCACAATAGTATATAGTTCAGAAAATTGCAAGGTGGGCTGAGATCAGGTAGGGGTATTGAGTAGTATTTACAATTGTATGAACTAGGTCTTATTAACAGTAATAGTAAAGTGACAGTCTTGTGGCAGAATTGATGAGATCTAGATAACAAGAATAAAGAGTATAGAACCTTGAGAGGTGTATTAATGGAACACAGATGAAGAATAGTAAATTATCAACACATTGTGACGGAGATACCAGGGGGAACCTATCAAATGACAGTATAACCAACCAAGCAAAGAAGATTATACAGAAAGAAAAATAATACCAAAATACTATTAAAATAAAAAATGTCAGAAAAGTGAGAAAAAGATAATACAAATTTACAGTAACTTGCAAGATTGAAAAAAAGAAAGGAAAGAAAAGCAGAAGATGGAGTGCAGGAGAGATAAATTTGGAGTGGAAAGAATAATATTAGGATGAATGGAAGAGAAACATAAGGGATTGCAAGGTATAAAAATAATAAGAATTGAAAAATAAAATGTCACATAAAACATAAGATAAAATCAATCAACCAACAACAGCCACAAAAACAAAACAAACCCAAACAAAACAAAACAAAATAAGAAAAACCTCTTGTTGGTTTCTAACTGGCCAGACCAGTTTTTCTGATCTTGCTGGCTTCAGCTGGCTGAGGGACCTTTGAAATGCTTTTCTCTCTTCCCAGCCAGATCTCAGCAAGTCTCTCAGGTACCCTGGGTGCTCCCAAGCACACTCGCTCTCTAGAGCTCACTGCTGCGTTCTTCTGGACTCCAGGGTCCTGCAGGGTTTCAGCTCTATGATCTCAGAAGGCACCCGAGACGTTTTGGGATTCACTGTGCCCTCCCTGGGAATTGTAATAGTGTGCGCCCCTCCACCAAACTTTTGAGATTCGGGCTCTAGGATCGCCCTAAGCGCCACACCGTGACTCTTCCAAGTTCACAGCGAGCACAAGACAGGCTTCCTGATGGAGTGTGCAACCCCCCTGGGTTCACAGCTCGCGTGAGTCAGGCCTCCCGATGGGGCAAGCAGAGTCCTTCCCAGCTCTTTGTTTTCCACCGATCCGCACCCCAACCGGGCCAGGGGTGTTGGCGCCTTTCCCGACCAGGGGCGGTCGTGTTGGCTGGGGGCCCTCACTTCTCCCAGGTCTCTGGGTGGTTGTTCATATTCCCTGGGCGATTTTTTCCCAGACCAACTGGCCAATCTGTTCCTTCAAGCAACACGTTCTCCCCTGGAGTTCCTCAACCCCTGTATTCGGTGGAGGGAGCAGCGACTCCCCTCTCCCCGGAGCCCTGAGGCAGACCCTGGAGCACGGGGCCTGGGGACTGCACACCCCCGGACCCCGGGCTGATCCCTGGGTCCCTTTTGTCCCGAAGCAGTCTCCCTACCGTCTGGTTTTCCAGTGATCGCAATAATCCCCGATGTCCTGCTTTCAAAAGTGATTCGGTAACCCAGTCCACTTGCTCTGCCTCTCCACCGATCCACGAGTTTCCCTCCTCTTCACAGAAACCGAGAAAAATGCTGCCTAGAGCAAAGCCGCCATCTTCCTTCAGAGAGCCAGCACTCTTCTTAGGGTCCGGTTTTTCCATTCCGCCACAATCCTTGGTCCCCTATTTTCACATATGCTGAAGTATGTTGGTTGTTTGCTTCTCTACTCCATAGATTGGTCAGGATTTTCTCCCCTGAGCAGAGGGAAGCCAAATCTGCTCCTTCTGACTCCAACGCCATCTTAGCCCCCACCCCTTTTGGTTTTCTTATTTTTTATCTATCCTTTACTGATGATGAGTTGCATTTGGGTGTTTTTAAAGCAAATTCATCAATTAGTTTCTGATAAAGACCAATCAATTTTCCTTCCCAATGCTGCCCTTTCCCCCTTATTTATAAGATCAACCCAGTCCCATAATTGAGCTGTCAGTCATATCAACCAATTTTTGTTTATACCTGCCCAAACAATGCTTTCCATGATGTTGACTCTGCCTAAGTAACGTGACATGTTTATTTAATCCCCTGATACAGAGAAGGTAGACTTCCAGCAAGATGAAGGCATAGGTAGATACCCTTTGCCTCCTCACACAACAAAAGAAGGACAACAACAAATTTTAAACCAAATAATAACCAGAACTGCCATAAAATTGAACTGTATGGAAGTCTGACAACCAAGGAGTTAAAGAAGACACATTCATCCAGATTGGTAGGAGGGGTGGAGATGGGCAGCTAGAGCTGAGAGGACTCGTGGCAAGATGGCAGTTGGCAGACTGGGAAGTCCCACATTTGTGTGAGGATAAATCAAGAGCAACAACTATGGAGCGAGACAGACTAAGCAACCTATGATCCCAGCATGGGAAAATAAAGCCTCAAAATCTCTGACTATATAATTCTGTGGGGGATGCAGCAGTAGGAGAAACTCCCAGCCTCAACAGGAGAGTTCATTGCAGAGACCCACAGGGTCTTAAATCATACACAAACCCATTTATTTGGGAATCAGCACCAGAAGGGTCCAATTTGCTTGTGGGTAGCAGTGTAAGTAACTGAAAGTTGACAGAGAGCTGAGTAAGCAACATTAATCCCTCTCAGATCCCTCTTCCACATACCGTGCCACAACGCAGTGAAACAGGTTGCCTGCTCTGGCAAACACCTAAGGCTTCGCCCCTTACAACATAACAGGCTGGCCAAGACAAAAAAAAAATATATGGCCCAAATGAAAGAACAGATCAAAGCTCCAAAAATAGAACTAAGTGAGGAAGACATAGTCAACCTACCATATGCAGAGTTCAGAACACTGGTAATCAGGATGCTCACAGAAATGGTTGAGTGTGGTTGAGAATACCTTTGGTCACAAAACAGAAGAAAAAGTGAAGGCTATGCAAAGTTAAATAAAGAAAAATATACAGGGAACCAACAGTGACGGGAAGGAAACCAGGACTCAATCAACGGTTTGGAGCTGAAGGAAGAAATGTACATTCAACCAGAACAGAATGAAGAAATAAGAATTCTCCCACCCAGGGTACATGCCTGGGTTGCAGGCCATGACCCCGAGCAACCGCACATTGATGTTTCTCTCTCTCTCTCTCTCTCCCTCCCCTCCCTCTCTAAAAAAAATAAATAAATAAATAAGAATTCAAAAAATGAGGAGAGGCTTAGCAACATCCAGGACAACTTTAACATCCAGGACACCCCAAATCATAGGGGTGCCACAGGAGAAGAGGAAGAGCAAGAAATTGAAAATTTATTTGAAAAACATAATGAAGGAGAACCTCTCCAGTCTGGCAAAGGAAATAGACTTCTAGGAAGTCCAATCCTAAAGAAGTTGGACCGAAGGAAGTACATACCAAGGCATATCATAATTACATTACCCAAGATTAAAGAGAAGGAGAAAATCTTAGAAGCAGCAAGAGAAAAGGAGATAGTTACCTACAAAGGAGTATCCATAAGGTTATCAGCTGATTTCTCAAAAGAAACCTTACAGGAAGAAGAGGCTGGAAAGAAGTATTCTAAGTCATAAAAGGCAAGGACCTACATCCAAGATTACTCTATCCAGGAAAGCTATCTTTTAGAATGTAAGGGCAGAGAAAGTGCTTCCCAAATAAGGTGAAGTTAAAGCACTTCTTCATCACCAAGCCCTTATTATATGAAATGTAAGAGGGACCTCTCTAAGAAAAAGAAGAATATCAAAGATATGAACAGTAAAATGACAATAAACTCAAAGCTATCAACAACTGAACCTAAAAATACAAAAACAAAAACAGAAACAAATGAAGCAAACAACTAAAATAGCAACAGAATCACAGAAATGGAGATCACATGGAGGGTTATCAGTGGCAGGATGGAGACAATGGGGGAAAGGTACAGTAAATAAGAAGCATAATTGCTAGGTACAAAATAGATAGGGGGAGGTTAACAATAGTATAGGAAATGGAGAAGTCAAAAACGTTATATGCATGACCCATGGACATGAACTAAGATGGGGAAATGCTGGTGGGAGAGGGGTGCAGGGCAGAGAGGAATTAAGGGGAGAAAAAAATGGGACAACTATAATAACATCATCAATAAAATATATTTTTTAAAAATCCCCTGCTATAGTATAAAATTTGAATTATAAAGCAGATTGTCAGTCACAGCAAGCAGCTGGGGCTTTTCTCCTGTACAAGCTCAGAGCCCTGCTTTAAGGCTAAAGTACAGGATCTCAATGAATTCTTACTTGCTTGGTTTTTACCAGAAAATATCAATGCCTCTTTTTCCTTCTTCTTCTAGGAACCAAAGAAGTTGTTGTAAGTGTGGATGATGATGGAGTCATTTCCTTGAATTTCGAATGTGATCAGATGACTGCAAATTCTGAGTTCATCTGGTCCAAGGATTATGTATCCACTGAGGATTCTCCACGTTTAGAAGTTGAAAGCAAAGGCAACAAGTATGGACTGTTTCAGTCATAATCATGGGTTTCCTTTTCATGATAGGAAGATGAAGTAAGCTCTTTGCTTTCCATTGCAAATACTTGGTATAAGGGGATGAATCACAAATATTTTTTATCTGGTAATGTAAAGAGTAATAACCAGTATGAACCTTAAAAAAATAACAATTCTTATAAAGTTCTTTTCACATTTTTCCATTTAAAGTGCTCTCATTTATGTTGTTAGAAGAGCTTTGATTGACATAAAAGTAAATTTTAAAAATGATTCTTATTATTCTACAAAATTTTGAAATCTTAAAGTAATTGTGAGTATATTTCAGGGGAGGGAACAAGGAAGAACTTGCTATTTAATTATTTGAGTTATGGTAAATTCAATGGATTAGGTAAAATCCGCTCTGCTTTTTTCACCACCAGTAATGAGGGCCCTAAAAATCACTGAAAAGAGCCCTGTATGGGAAGCACAGGATAGATGAGCCCTAGTTCCAGCTCTACCAGGAGCTGGCTGTGTGACCTGGGGCAGTTTTTAACTTCCACAGACCTTGGATTACTTTTTCTGTAGAATGGGAGAGAGTGAAGGGGGTTAATTTTATCATCTAATGCTTTTAACCCCAAGATTCTGTTTTTTTTTTACTTTGCCTTATTTATCAAGGTTTATATCTTTACAGTATCAATCCTACTGGATTGTATTTGATAAAGCAAAATACTCCTAAGTATTATTTCTATTACAGAGCAGCCCAGTATATGTCAAAAATAAAGAAAATAAATAGTAATTTTTGTTAAGAAATGTCAAAGAAATACAGAATAGAATTAAAGGACATTTTACTGTTGTTATGCTAGAAAGTCCTTGAAGTAAAACATACATAGCCAAAGAAGAGACAATGAAACTGTAGATTTTTCTTTCACTTTGTGCACTTGAGTAACATTTAAATGTTTGGCTGATCTTAGACACTGACTAGCAATATGACTCACCAAAGTTAGGAAACATGAACTAGACCATGGACCGATTTGTTTATGCATTCCACAAATATTTATTTAGCACATATTATGTTACCAAGAAGGCACTGATGGATGCTGGAGGACACAACAGTAAACAAAACAGATCTTCTCCCTAAAGGCACACAGTAGAGGCATAGAGATAATGAAATAGGCAATACCAATGCAGTGTGATAACCTCAATAAAGGGAAGTGCAGGGGATGACCTAAGAGAGGCACTAGAGTTACCAAGAGCAGGCTCTGCCCTGTGGAGGAAAAATGGTCAGGGTCCCTAGCAAGGGCTGGTTAGTTAAACTATCTTTATTTGGCATGTGTATTGGTATGCAACATAGCTTGGGGATGGGAAATTTGTACCAGTTCCATGCTCCCATTACCATGACCCCTTAGAAGGATGTCAGGAAAGACTTCCCTGAAGCAGCAAGAAGGAGTAGGCTTTAGGTCGATAAGGGGCATAGGAGCAAGTGCTGCAAATGAAGGGAGCAGCATGTGCAAGTGCCTAAAGGCAATGCAGGACACAGGTCCCCAGGTGCCACATGGCCTCATTTCTTACAAAAAATATTATGTTCTTAAGGACAAAGCTAACCTTCAAAGACCTGGGGATGGAAGATTTGGGCATTTACTCCTGTGATGTAACAGATACTGATGGAATAGCATCAAGCTACTTGATAGATGAGGAAGGTAAGTTTAAATGAATTCATTGACTAGTCTAATGCTGCTTAGTGTTCTCAATGATGCTCTAGGATCAAGTGACTGTTGTTTTGGTAATTTAAGATTTGATTGTTCTCTTTTTCTCCCTACAGAGGTGAAACGTTTACTTGCTCTTAGCCAAGAACACAAGTTCCCAAGTAAGTGTCCACAATACTTTAAGAGTGCAGCCATTCTACTAGGTGACAACTTCTGGAACAGGGCAGATGACATCGGATGCTCTTGAGGACATATGAGGGAACATACATTGGTAGCTACAGATGCACTTTCTAAAAGTGCTGCTTTTATCTTTGTCATTGTTTTCAAGAGATACAAAGAAGACTAACACAGGAACTATATTTCATGTTCTATTTCATAGAGAAGTGGCAGGTTACATAGGCATAACAGCTCTGTACTCAAGTTCTCCTTTTGCCTACATATTTTGGAATCACACACATAATATTTATTTTCTGGAAGCATATATATTTTCTGGATGCATTAATTTCTAATCTCTTCCTAAGCAATTTAATATTTGCACTAAATAGAAGAATCATACTTCTAAATAAAGACATTACTTACCATTTTAAACTTCTAAAAAATAAGGTAATGATGCCTTGGTCAGAAAAAAATTTTTTCTAAACTATCTGCAAACCCTTAATAAAGCATTTTCCACATAAAATATTAAATTTCACAGTTGATACCTACTAGAAGAGAAAGAAGTCTGAAATGGCAACTCGGAAAGTTCCACTGGCCAGATAAGATCTCTTGTCATTGGCACCTTTTAACCAAAGTAGTGACTTATCCAGAAAGTTACACTCTAGAGTTTGAGAAAACAAATAGAAAGGTATAGCATATCCTCATTCTTTTAAATCAGGAAATTTTTTTCACTCATTAATCCCTAAACTATAACTCCTTCACTAATACAGGAGTTTCAGGAACACAGGAAACTATACCCTGACCCCAGACTATAGGCAAAACTTAGTATGTTTGTATATGTGCATTTTCTAGGGAGTCTGTAGCTTTCCTGAAATTCTCAAATGAGACTGCAATTAAAAATAAACACTGCTCTAGAACCGATTTCTTGACCTCTCTTTGCTTCTCAAGGAATGATTGATTGTGACACTTAGTGTTGATGACTATTGGCCTCAGCTGTAATGTTCTCAAAAACAACTTTGTTCAGCAAAGCAGCACAGGGGAGTGCAAATGTAGGATGCAGACTTCCTGAATTCCAGGATAGAACCATTTCTCCCCTGTATGCTTGTTCACCATAAAACTGGAAAAGTGATACCATGAATCACTTAACAGTTAAACATTTTTAAAAATTATATGGAAGATAGAGATTTGGTCTGAGTCTCCTTTTAGCTCTGCATTGGAGCAACTGTATAACTGAGTTTTACAGTGAATATGGAATAGTGCAAATGAAAGGCATCCCTAAATGCTTAACGAGGGTAATTTTAGGATAAATACAAAGAAACATCAAGGTACATTTGGTACAAGTTTAGGGAGCATATAATTTAAAATGTAGCAACACTACATAAAATTTTGAGATAGGTTTAACACAGCAAGCAAAGTGATGATTCCCCCTAAAGGAAGTAGAAGGAGAACTAAACTTTGAGGAACAACCATGCTTCTCCACAAAGTGCATCCAGAGCCACCTCTGATACAGAACAATTGGTTAAAGGAAGCTTCATAGAGAACATTTTCACATTACAAGAAACTTAGAAAGAGGTTTTGAGAAGTGTCAGTCAACTTTTAAATTTCACTCAGACTCAAATGGCTTAAGTGATACAGGTGTAAATCACACTACATGGTCACTTCACTTTCTTTGTGAAGCAATCCATGTGATATTTTAATATAGCTTCTTAATAGTGACTTGCTTATTTACCTCTGAAAAATTTTGCTTGGTCTGAGAACTTCAATGAATTGGTACACCATGGGGATAGATAGGGCTTAATTGACAAACTAGTTCATTTTATATATATAATCAAAATTAATTATTTTTTGAAAATTTTTATTGATTTTATATAGAGAGAGGAAGGTGAGAAGAGAGAGAGAAAAACATCAATTTGTTGTTCCACTTATTGATGCATTTATTGGTTGCTTCTTGTACATGCCCTGACCAGGATCAAACCCACAACCTTGGCATATTGAGACAACTCTCTAACCAACAGAGCTACCCAGCCAGAACCAAATTTATTTTTTTAAGATCCATTTTTAAAGAGCGTTTTAAAGAACCTCCAAAGGGAGTTAAATTGTTGAAATAAATCAAATATAGTTCTTTTCCAAATATTTTGAAGTAACCAAGATCATAGAATGATGAAACTGGAAAATATCTAGGTTAATTAAGATGTTCACTTCAATCTCATTCATTTATAAATGAATCAAATGCGGCCCAGATATGCAAAGGGACCTGCCTAATATCACACAGTTTGTTAGTAGCTGATGTTGGACTAGGCCCCAGCTCTCCTGAGGCCAGCCCAAGACTCTTTTCATCACACTTTGGTGTAGTTCCTAAATAAACCTAACCAACGCCACAGTAGAGAGTCACAAAGGTTAGCTGAAGAACCCCAGGATTTAAATTCATCCTCCTCATTTTTACAGTTGAGACATCCGTGACTCAGGGAAGGCCAGCAACTTGCACGGAGTGACAGACTTAGAACCCAGTCTTCCATCCCTCAATGTGGTGCTTGCCCTATAACACTCTCACACTGCCTCCACACATTCCAAGAGGCAAGGTGCTCCACTGCAATTTCCACTGAGTGTTTTTTCACCGTTGGAAGAATCTGTATCAATACAGCTGGTTACCAATATAATTTTTATTTTTATTTTTCATAGCTGTCCCAGCTAAATCAGAGTTGGCTGTTGAAATTTTGGAGAAAGGCCAGGTCCGGTTTTGGATGCAGGCTGAGAAGCTGTCCAGCAATGCCAAAGTCAACTTCATATTTAATGATAAGGAAGTTTTTGAAGGGCCGGTAGGTTTTACACATTTATATTTCTAAACACAGTATTATAGAATGTGCTGGGGAAGCCTGTTAGACTTCAGGTAAATCATTATGAAAGTCCCTGGGTACAGGGTGGGGAGTTTAAATTTCACATGCAAAAAATGTAGAGGAAAGCAAATTTATTGTATCATACTGTTCAAACTGGGGCACTTTTGAGAATGAAAGAGTATACCACTAATTTTTCCAGGACAAGAGTCATAAACCAAAACTGTCCCAGGTAAATTAAGAACTATAATCACCTATGAAAACAGCTGCTCTTGAGAAGGCAGAGGAGCCCAGATTTTGACTTGAACTCATGTACATCAGAACCCCAGCAGGGACGTGATTCTTCATATGGAGGAAATGGCCTGTATTGTTCTGATCGCTCAGAAAAAAAAATGCAGTAAAAGTAGCCTTATTTCTTTTCTGTTTAAAAATGCAATGCATCCGTATTTAAAAACATTAAAGACTCATACAAATCACAGATTTTCACAACTTTTTGAGGTATATATTAATATATACTTTTTGGTCTTTTTCTACTCTTGCATGGATGCATGTCTTTTTGTGTCTTTTTTACATAGATGATTATATATATCTTTGTATATATCTTCCTTGCTTTTAACATAAACAGTTTCCATAGAAAGAGTTACAATATCTAGGCTCTATTTGCCGTTCCCAGACATCAGTAGAGCCAGGATCAATCCAGCGCCTGGTGGGACTAAAGAACTTGAGTTTAGGGGTCCTGGCTCCCACCTGTGTTATCATAAATGGAAGACTTAAAAGATGGGGGAGAGGTGTGGTTTGTGGCCACTATTAACAACCTGTTCTCCTTTGATCAAGATATGTTTTGGGGACATCGAGGATTCATTAGTGAGGGGAAGAATGAGTAACATAACAAGTAGGCTACGCAGTATATTTTTTTTCAACCCATGTAGCAATTGTGTGTAGATCTGGAACAAGTCACACATGGGTCCACTGCGGCCCCTCTCCTCCCTGTTTTCAACATGTTCTCATAGACTGCTGTGATTGCCACCTGGCCAGTGGAGATGAAGGAAAAACTTTGTTGGCATCACTTGGCTGCCACCACCATTGAGGAATCTCATACACGTGTGTGTAGCATCACTCCCATTCGTGTGTACACACACTTGCATGTTTCTGTGCACACACACACAGTTAATTGTCATTGCAGTTGGTTCTAATCATAGCATTTTATTGGGTGGAAAATACAGTCTAAGGTCAGGTTTTCTAAAAGGAGATTTTGATATAGAGTCTCTCCTTTAAGTGATTTATGGGGAAGTACTCTCAGGAGTAGGGAATATGGGAAACAAGGAAGGTAGGAGAAAGCTAAGCAAAAATGTGGTCTCAGTTGGACACTGGCTTCCTTCTGAGGAAGCTCCAGAACCTGGATGGCACCACAGAGTGAATCCCAGATCTGAGTTTTCATTCTGTGACACTTTATAGGAAAACTTCATTAATTCAAATTCATTATGGAACTTGTGCTGGTAAGTCCAAGGACTGAGATTTATCTTTACACTGAAAACAAACAATGCCCAAGCAACATGATACAATAAATATAGTCTAATGGGGTGATTTCAGCTCATTAGGAGCAAATGGGTTTTAAATGCTTTGGAAGCATTTTTTTCAAATATTAATTCAGTAGATATTTATTAATTACCTGCTAGATGCTAGAGATATAGCAATAATGAGACAAATACTTTCCTCATGCTGCCTTATAGTTTCGCATTATTCTGTTAATTAAAACTAACGTAATCTGGAATGTAAGTGGGAACCTAAAAACTACTTTTGATAACATTTTGTGACTTGGGATAACAAAACTTAATTTATATTTAAAATAGTCTTTTTAGTAATCATTTCTGGTCAAGGCCATATATTCCAAAACATTTTCATTTTTCTGGCTACTAGATTTTAAAAACTTGCTCATCTAAAAAATGTTACAATAAATTTTATTAAAATTATGATTCTTTAGAGTCTGTATTTATTTTATCAGGCTTATTATCACCCCATCTACCTCATTGATTTCTCTTTTTCCCTTTTCACGTTGAAGAAATATAAGATGCATATTGACCGAAATACTGGTATAATTGAAATGTTCATGGAAAAGCTACTAGACGAAGATGAGGGAACATACACTTTCCAGCTTCAAGATGGAAGAGCAACTGGCCATTCTACTCTGGTTCTCATTGGAGATGGTAAGAATTCCATGGAACATTAGCTGGAAGCCTTTGCTGCTCCCGTTAATGCAAGCATCCCATGGCACAGTGCAGTCCTGTGAAAGGCAGAGGGAAGTGTTCTGTTTGGATTCCCATGTTTGAAATACAATTCTCAGTTAATACTTTCCATAGTATTTCATTACATAGTAGTGAAAGTTAATTTAAAATGATACCAAATTTATCCTTAGTCTACAGGCAGGACTACATATAAATTATCTCACATTAAACAAACATTTATTACTAAAATTCTCCAGTGAAGGAGACTGCAATACAACCAAGACTGTATATGTGTCTCAGAAGCAAACCGATACTATCTTATAATGTGTACTTACTTTAAATTACTTAAATTAAGAAGAACATATGCAAAAAAATAGAGCATGCCAAATTAATTAATCGTACATCACAACTAGACTGTATATCAGCTGCCATAAACCATTGTGGAAATAACCAAGATTTCAAATATGGCATTTAACAAAGCAATGGAAAGGCTGGTCAGATCTCTGCATTTATAATATCCTGTACTATTTCACTGTCTTCTACTTCATGACCTTGAACAAATTATTTAACCTTCCAAAGTCTATTCCTTCAGCTATCAAGACTAAAAACAAATAAAGTGGTCATGATGAATGAGTGTTATAATAATGAGTACAAATCACTTAACACAGTCACTGTCATGTACATTTACCACTCCAGTCAATTTCTTACTTTCTTGTTTTTCAATTTTTAGTTTATAAAAAGCTCCAGAAAGAAGCTGAATTCCAGCGGCAAGAATGGATCAGGAAACAAGGTAAAAACAATCAGTGAATAAACAAAAAAGCTTCAGTTTATTGAACAAAATATTCTAAGATTGTTTGTATAACAAATTAAAATGAATATTATTACTTATGTTAATAACTCTATAAATAAAACATAACTGAAAATATGTATTATTAAATAGACATCTATTTAAATATTTAAAAACTAAATCTTGAATTTTAAAAATTTCACTTTAAGTACAAATCACGTTGGAATTTAAGCATGAGTTTTGACTCTGCTTTCATGACTAATAAAGTGATTGCTGATATTAATATTTTACAGGCCCACATTTTGCTGAGTATTTGAGCTGGGAAGTGACTGGTGAATGTAATGTACTATTGAAATGCAAGGTAAGAAGTAGATGAATTTTTAACAGTTCATACAAGTGAAATAAGATAAAATAGAATGTGAGAAGATCAACTAACTCAAAAGAATATATGCACCCCTATGTTCACCGCAGTGTTATTCACAATAGCCAAGCTATGGAAGGAGCCCAAGTGTCTATCAGTAGATGAGTGGATAGAAAACCAGTGGTACATTTACACAATGGAATATTACTCAGCCATAAAAAGAAGGAAATCTTACCAAATGAACCTACAGGATATTATGCTAAGTGAAATAAGTCGGTCAGAAAAAGGCAAATACCATCTGACTTCACTTATATGTGATCCTAAAGAACAATACAAATGAACAAACAAAATGAAGACAAACTCATAAATACAGAGAATAGACTGATGGTTTTGCCAAAGGGAGAGGGGTTTAGAGACTGGGTGAAAAAGACAAAGGGACTGAGAAGTATAGACTGGTAGTTACACAATAGTCCTGGGAATGTAAAGTTCAGCCTAAGAAATACAGTCAATAATATTTTAATAATTATGTATGGTGCCAATGGGTACTGAAAATATCAGGGGAATGCTTTGTAAAGTATATGATTATCTGACCACTATACTGTACACTTGAAACTAATACAAAGTACTATTGAATGTAAACTATAATTGAACAAAAGTAAAAGTGATGCATCAATTAAAAAAAAATAAAGACCATACAAATCAAGAAAAAAGAAACAAAAACGAAAAAGAAAACAGTTGCTCAGACCCTACTGATTAACTGGACAAATATACACACAATTTCCCAAAGAGGAAATACGACTATAAAAAAAAGACCAAAAAATGTATAATCTCTTTAAAATATGTAAACATAATTCCTTCCACCTTTATATTCAAAACTTCATTTATCTTTTTAAAAATATTTAGGTATGTATTTCATGACTTAGTTTTTCTATTCTTTTGATAAAGCCATTTGCTTTATCATATGACAGACTATACTTTAATCTGATGGGATGTGCATTCCTATGGTTTTTGGATTTTTATTTTAAGTCTGTTTGTATGTCAGTGTGTATGATCCTATTCTTTCTTTTCTTGTCTACTAGATGATATTAAAGTTAATTTTTACTACTAGAAAAAGAGATGCTATTGGTTTAGGTTTATATATTTGTACCCACTTTATTCTAAACTCTATCATTTAAATTGTTTTGAATTAATTTCATTAGCATCTTCTGACTTTAAGTTTAGTGCTTGTTTTTCTGTCCAATGCCACATTAACAACTACTCACAAGAGTAGCATTCCCTTATCTTAAGAAGTATAATTATGGTTCTAGGTAGCAAATATACTTCTAAGTATAAATATAATTCTTCTAGGTGGCAAATATTAAGAAGGAGACCCATATTTTGTGGTACAAAGATGAAAGGGAGATATCGGTGGATGAAAAGCATGACTTTAAAGATGGTATATGTACCCTGCTTATAACAGAGGTAGGTGACTCTAAATGTGAAATGTAATATATTAGTTCTGTACCCTACTTCCTCCCAAAAAACAGAGACTAGGTTCTATCTTCTTTTGCCCTGGGCATTTGTAATACCTTACTTCTAACTGCTTCAAAGATCCCTGCCCTGACTTTAACTAAAAAGCAAGCTATAGGAACACAGAAGCTTCCCTCACCTTGTGATATGCATGGATTTGTCACATATTTAACCAATATTGGCTAGACACCACAACTCTGGCCTCTCAGAGACTTGTTTTCATGAATGGGTGAATGGCAGGGAGTTAAGTGGATCCTGCTTTGTTAACTCTTCAGCTTCATAGCTTGTTCCCTAAAAGTACAATCAGAGTAGTATTCATTTCAATATAGATTTTTATCTCCTTTTTTTTTTGTCTAAAAGAGCGCACCTTTCAAATGCATGTGATCATTAGTTTTTAATGTGGAGGCAGAGTAAAGGATAAGGACTTCAAGTTTCAAATCAATTATAGCCTTAGAGGGTGAAAAATCAGGATTGCTAGTTTAAGTATAATGGGTAGGTTTATCTGTGAAATGTTCATTGCTCAAATGGTTAGATGCTTGTTTGGAGTGTGTTTTTATGGCAGTTCTATAAATAACAGGGCTTTGAAAATGCAAACACCAAACTCTGAGGCTACAATAAGCTGCAATGTGGTTTATCTATCCCTCCCTTAGTTTTCCAAGAAAGATGCTGGGGTCTATGAAGTTGTCCTGAAAGACGACAGAGGAAAAGATAAGAGCAGACTGAAGCTTGTGGATGAAGGTCAGTCTGCTCGCTGCCGGGGTCTCTCGTGTGTGTCCTGGGCACAGGTTACCTGAGTTACGAGGGAGGCCGAGTTGATGATCCAAGTCACACTGATTGTTTGTCCACAGGTTTTAATGGAAATTGCAGCAAAGTGAACTGTTGTTACATTTTTTAAAAAAATACTTTACTTTTAGTCTTCTTAGAAATCAGAAGTGTAATTTTGATCCTCAGAGAATTGATAGTACACAGTCCAGCAGGGGTTTGTTTTCCATATAAATAATCATTTTTGTTTCAACCCTCTAAAAAATGCTACAGGATCAAAAACTATGATACAAGTTGCAAATTAATTTCCTCTTAAAAGGTGACAAGAAAGATTTATATAGGAATCTCTAAGCCTTTAGTTATTAGCACAGTGTAAAAGCAATTTCCACTTTTCAGAGACTACTAAGGACGAATATATCATCATAACAAAGGCTTTTTTTTACGACCCACACACTTCCCCCAGAACAAGATCTTTAACAGCATTGCTAACAGACAGCAGAAGTCTGACTTTGATTTTACCTTCCTCTTAGTTGAGATGGGACTAACTGTGTATGCTGGCAAAAAGCTTTACTAGGCTGCAAAATATGAAGCTAATAGATGGTTAATTCATTATGAATTGATGATACAGATAAGAAAACTTCCTCTAATGTGAACTAAGGCTTCCTGGAACTTAAGAAGAGAATCTTAAAGCCAAGAAACTTCCTGGAAATCTCATTGTGGCTCTTTGTCTACAATGCAAATACGATGAAACTTACAGAGAATTACAGGGGAAAATATCAAAATAAGAGCAAGGATCTGTTACAACTTGATAAAAATTGAGTGATTCACACCAAGAACACTTATGATCAATTGGTCAACAAAGTCTCCTTGTGCCCCATACCCTTCACCAGACATTATTTCTCAGAGCACAATGCTGACAAACAGTTGAGATTTGACCTTAAACTGAGCATTTCTATGCTAAACTTTTTCTATAAATCTTCATCCACAGCCTTTCAAGAACTGATGACTGAAATATGTAAAAAAATAGGTAAGTTAACATGTTCTCAGCATGACAGTGTTTCATTATTCTCCTGGATGGGCCTACAGGTGAATGAAATATGGTTTTTTCTTCTTCCAGCTTTGTCTGCCACAGACCTGAAAATCCAGAGTACGGCTGAAGGCATCCGGCTGTACTCTTTTGTAACTTACTATGTGGATGATCTGAAAGTGAACTGGTCCCACAAGTAAGTAAATAGACACTTAATTGGTGTGTAGAAAGTCTCCATTTGAGTGAGAAAAAAAGTGGGAACTCTCTGTACTCTCAGCTAAGGAGTCTACTTACTTCTCGGGTCGTTGATGAGTGTAGGACAGAAGCACCCAGGCCATTCATTCCCTTAGTGTGCGTGAGCACTTTCCTTTAACACACATAGGGTGAGGCCAGCAATGCCTAAGAGCATCTGTCTTGTGATCTAGGTAGTACCGTAATTCACAGACATCTCTATAATGTGACCTACACCTTTGGATGGTTCTGTTTGGGCTCTCATTGTTTTGCAGGCATCCAGGGCCAGATTCTGAGTCTCTCTTTCCACGCACAGCTTACCCATGCTATGATCTGGAACAAAACTGAAGCAGCATGCACCAAGAGACACCAAATCTCCCATTATGTGAATTAGTAGCCATTCCCCAAAGAAGCCTAATCCAGAGAAGTGTCCAAGTTTGTTATTCTTGTTGTTTATAGCAATTAGCATAGTTGGTCATTAGCATGTTTCTTGTCCACCCTTGGAAGGCTTTGGCAAACTCACAATCACTTTGGGAAAATGTATTTGAACTGAATTAAGCCTGAAGATCTGTTTTCATCTCAGGCTTCCTCTGTGGAGTTCTAGAGAGATTCTACTGAAGTCCAGCACTGGGATTTTAAGAGCCTGAATAGATTTCTAAGCCAAATGAGTTCTCCCATTTATGCTGTGGATGGTATCCTTAACCTCTGTGCTTCCTTGAAATTTCCTGAGCTTAAAGAAGCAGCAGCCTGATGCAGAAATCTGGTGGGGCACAGCCACTTTAGTCCACACTTAAGATGCAGCTGACACTCAATCCCAAAGTCCTGTGAGACCCACTGTGGCACCCCAGGAGGAGGCAGACAACATTGTTCATTTATATCCTCCTTTCAGTGGGTTTTTACAATATGCCTGGCACTGCTCCAAGCCATTTACATGTATGAATTCATTTAACATACACGGCTCTTTGGTGTGGGTACATCCTGTTTCAGTGAAGACAAAGTTTAGGCTGGGGGAGCTGACTTGCCTGAGATCACACAGCTGACTGGCGGGGAGGGCCGAGCCCAGGCAGCCTGGCTCCAGAGGCCTGTCATGGCACCAACCCTGTGTTCAATGAGCATTAAAAGTCTAGGTTAATATTTAACCAGAGCTGAGTTCCACAAAGAAATCATTTGTGTTTTCTTTAAAATGACTTACCTGTTATGTAGAACAGTGGTTTTTTAAATTATTTTTAATTTCCTGAGTTCTAAAAAATTATGAAAAGTGAAATTCCAACATAGAATTCCTGAGATTTCATTCTTTTGTTCAATTTCTTTTAGACTATATTGTAGGAAGTTCTAAGTTAAAATAGACCGAATTCCAGGAAATTCCTCTGTGACATCTAAGATATTCTAATATGTCAGTCTGAAGAAAATGAGAGATAAATTAATTCGATCATCAATCAAAAAGCTTTACACGTCATTTCTAAAAGGATAATTTGTTCAAAAAGCTAGGACATTGAGTTTTGAACAAACCATTAGGCTAGCAAAGCATAAACTTTTTACTTTACTTGCCATAGTCATTTAAATGAGTGCTTTGTGTATCCACTTGCCTATAAAAGATTCAGGAGTCAAGGTCTGTCTTCACTGTCTTTAGGTAGGTATGTGAATCACTGGGAAAAAACTTGAAATGGGTTTTAGCCTTGACTTGGCTCCTATCTTTCCTTGGATCTTAAGCAAGTCATTTAATTTTCTGGTTCTCACTTAATAATACCTGCTCTATCTCATAACATTCATGGACCAATGTAATAATGAAAGTAATGGTACTTTGTAAACCATAAAGTACTTTACAAATTTAAGGTACTATTATGCATGTTAGCCAGAGATTAAAGAATTCAAACATTTATTTTAGCAAGCCAGAGAAACTGTCTTTTGACTGCCAGCCAAGATGGAGGCATAGATACATACCGTTTCTTCCTCGTACAACCAAAAGCAAGACAACAGCAAATTTAAAAACAAGCAATAACCAGAAGTGCCAGAAAATCAAACTATATGAAAGTCCAACAACCAAGGAGTTAAAGAAGAAACATTCATTCAGACCAGCAGGAGGGGTGGAGACGGGCAGCAAGGGTGGAGAGGATGTGTGGCAAGACAGTGGCTGGAGGACCAGGAGGTGAGCTGGCAGCTGGCAAACCAAGCGGCCCCACACTGGCATGCAGTTTTGAATAAACTGGGAGGAACAGCTAGGGAGCAAGAGACCATGCAACCCAGGGCTCCAGCATGGGGAAATAAAGCCACAAAACCTCTGGCTGTAAAAACCTGTGGGGATTGTGGTGGTGGGAGAAACTTTTAGCCTCACAGAAGAGTTTACTGGAGAAAGCCACAGGGTCCTAGAATGTACACGAGCCCACCTACCTGGGAATCAGCACCAGAAGGACCCAATTTGCTTGTGGGTAGCAGGAGAAGTGACTGAAAGCTGGCTGAGAGCTGAACAAGTGCCATTGTTCCCTCTCAGACCCCTCCCCCATATACAGTGCCACAACACAGAGACATGGATTCCCCCGTCCTGGCGAATACCTAAGGCTCTGCCCCTTACAATGTAACAGGTGGGCCAAGACGAAAAATATGGCCCAAATGAAAGAACAGATGAGAGCTCCAAAAATAGAACTAAGTGATGAAGAGATAGTCAATATATCAGATGCAGAGTTCAGAACACTGGTAATCAGGATGTTCACAGAAATGATTGAGTGTGGTTGAGAATGCTGTTGGTCACAAAATAGAGGAAAAAGTGAAGGCTATGTAAAGTGAAATAAAGAAAAATGTACAGGGAACCAAGAGTGAAGGGAAGGAAACTGGGGCTCAATCAACAATTTGGAGCAAAAGGAAGAAATAAACATCCAACCAGAACAGAAGAAAGAAACAAGAATTCAAACAAATGAGGAGAGGCTTAGGAACCTCCAGGACAACTTTAAATATTCCAACATCCAAATCATTGGGGTATCAGAAGGAGAAGAGGAAGAGCAACAAGTGGAAAAGTTATTTGAACAAATAATGAAGGAGAACTTCCCCTATCTAGCAAAGGAAATAGACTTCCAGGAAATCCAGGAAGCTCAGAGAGTCCCAAAGAAGTTGGACCCAAGGAAGCACACACCAAGGCACATCATAATCTCATTACCCAAGATTAAAGAGAAGGAGAGAATCTTAAAAGCAGCAAGCAAAAAGGAGACAGTGACTTACATAGGAGTTCCCATAAGACTCTCAGCTGATTTCTCAAATGAAACTTTACAGGCAAGAAGAGGCTGGAAAGAAGTATTCAAAGTCATGAAAGACAAGGACCTACATCTAAGATTACTTTATCCAGCAAGCTATCTTTTAGAATGGAAGGGCAGAAAAAGTGTAACTTCACCTTACCTTCCCAGGTGAAGTGCTTTAACTTCACCTTACCTGGGAAGGTACCTTACCTGGGAAGGTTCACCTTACCTGGGAAGGTAAGGTGAAGTTAAAGCACTTCTTCATCACCAAGCCCTTATTGTATGAAATGTTAAAGGAACTTATCTAAGAAAAAGAAGATGATCAAAAGTGTGAACAGTAAAATGACAACAAACTCACAACTATCAACAACTGAACCTAAGAATACAAAAACAAAAACAAACTAAGCAAATAACTAGAACAGGAACAGAGTCACATAAATAGAGACCATATGGAGGGTTATTTGTATGGAGGTAGAGGAGGGAGAATGGGGGAAAAGGTACAGGGAATAAGAAACATAAATAGTAGGTACAAAATAGACAGGGGAAGGTTAAGAATAGTATAGGAAATGGGTGTTCCTAAGCCTCTCCTCATTTGTTTGAATTCTTGTTTCTTTCTTCTGTTCTGGTTGGATGTTTATTTCTTCCTTCTGCTCCAAATTGTTGATTGAGCCCCAGATTCCTTCCCTTCGCTCTTGGTTCCCTGTACATTTTTCTTTATTTCACTTTACATAGCCTTCACTTTTTCCTCTATTTTGTGACCAACAGCATTCTCAACCACACTCAATCATTTCTGTGAACATCCTGATTACCAGTGTTCTGAACTCTGCATCTGATATATTGACTATCTCTTCATCACTTAGTTCTATTTTTGGAGCTCTCATCTGTTCTTTCATTTGGGCCATATTTTTTCTGCCTTGGCCCACCTGTTACATTGTAAGGGGCAGAGCCTTAGGTATTCGCCAGGACGGGGGAATCCATGTCTCTGTGTTGTGGCACTGTATATGGGGGAGGGGTCTGAGAGGGAACAATGGCACTTGTTCAGCTCTCAGCCGGCTTTCAGTCACTTCTCCTGCTACCCACAAGCAAATTGGGTCCTTCTGGTGCTGATTCCCAGGTAGGTGGGCTCGTGTACATTCTAGGACCCTGTGGCTTTCTCCAGTAAACTCTTCTGTGAGGCTAAAAGTTTCTCCCACCACCACAATCCCCACAGGTTTTTACAGCCAGAGGTTTTGTGGCTTTATTTCCCCACGCTGGAGCCCTGGGTTGCATGGTCTCTTGCTCCCTAGCTGTTCCTCCCAGTTTATTCAAAACTGCATGCCAGTGTGGGGGCCGCTTGGTTTGCCAGCTGCCAGCTCACCTCCTGGTCCTCCAGCCACTGTCTTGCCACACATCCTCTCCACCCTTGCTGCCCGTCTCCACCCCTCCTGCTGGTCTGAATGAATGTTTCTTCTTTAACTCCTTGGTTGTTGGACTTCCATACAGCTGTATTCCATACAGATTTTCTGGCACTTCTGGTTATTGCTTGTTTTTAAATTTGCTGTTGTCCTTCTTTTGGTTGTGTAAGAAGCCAAAGTATATGTATCTATGCCTCCATCTTCGCCAGAAGCAAATCTGAATCCCATATTATTTAAAAGCCTATAAAACTTTATAGTAAGACTGTCATTAAGAGACAAAGTAAAGGTCAGCTCTAGGTGAAAGCAAACAATAATGATGTTTCCTTTAATTTGAACAGTGGGACTGCTATTAAGTACACAGACAGAGTTAAGAGTGGGGTCACTGGACAGCAGATCTGGCTGCAAATCAATGAGCCCACTCCAAATGACAAAGGGAAATATGTAATGGAACTCTTTGATGGCAAAACAGGACACCAGAAGACAGTGGATCTTTCTGGAGAAGGTAAATGAATATTCTAGAAATTTAACTTACTATAGAGCAGTGGGCTTTTTAAAAAGAATGAAGAGTGATAAAAGGTCATTATGTTTTCCTGTTGAAAGATGATTAGAGATTTTAGTAAAGCAGTTTCAAGTCAGCCATGGTGATAGAAACAAGAATTTGAATAGGTGGAGAATTATTGAAAAGTAAGCACTACTCTTTCTAGATGTGTACCAAAAGGGGGCATTTGATTTATAATCACTTGAGCAAGAACAAACACAGAAAAAGCATAGTTTTATGGTGATTGACATTTAAGCATGTTCATGGAGTCAAAGAAATCAGTTGAGTTGGAAGGATTGAAGATGTGAGTGAAGGGAAATAATAATTGATGTGTCAGAGTTCTGAAGGATGGAATGTTGGCGACCCAGGGCAGAAGTGGGAGTAAGAGTGAATAATCAAAGACAAATATTGAGAAGAACAGAACAAAGTTGTAGAAGTTAGATTCTTATGGCCTCATATTTCTTGGTCATCTGCTGTAGAATTGGGGGAGGGTGGTTCTGGAGAGAGTAGGGAACAGAAGAAAGTCACAAGAGACATGGAAAAAGGCTTCACACCTAAGAACATAGATGAAAGGTGACATACAACTATTAGTTAGAATTTTAAAAGTTAAAACATACACAATCATAAATAAAAAATTAAAACCACTGTGCCATGTCTCTCTCCTGGTACTATACTCTTCATTTTATTTATTATTTCCTTAAAAAATAAAATAGTCTGTGAAGTTACCAGAGAAGCTTGGGGACTGACTTTTTCTTCCACTTCTTCAAATATTAAAATGCAACCTAAATATGCAGTAACTCTCAGTGTTTTAATCCTCAGAGAGCAGATTCATAATTTAGAGAACAGCCTTTCAACCCTGTCTTGCGTTGTTTTGTGCTGAGCCCTTTAACCTCACCCCGCCCACTCACGAGGACAGGAAACACTTGCTGAAGGTTCTCTGCAGGGAATGGAGTGGCTGTCCCCCAGGACTGCACCCTCCGGGCCACACTGTGCCTGAGTCACATCCTGTGGTGAGAGGATTTCATCTGCAGTCTGATACTGTTAAACACAGTAGAAAAAGGAAAATAAGAAGTGGATAGATAAATTTAAAATTTAAAAAAATTTCTTTTACTCTTTGGCCCATCAGAGCTTACTTAACTAACCTGCTCTCAAAAAACTGTGGATTGTCTCAACCAGCCTTAACACTGCCACGAAACGCAGACTGGCTTGCCTGCACCTGTGTCTTCCTCCTAATGGCACGGGCAAAAACAATAGCACTGAACTCTTAGTGTGGTTTAGCCTAAATAGTGTCAATGTAAGAAACATCGAAACCTGTAGAGAATTTTTGTGACTTTATTTGAGCCAAACTGAAGACAATTGCCAGAAGCAAAACCTCAACGAGTTGAGAAAATGCTCCAAAGAATGGCAGTTTTGCACCTTATTTTATATACTACAATCAAAAGAGGAGGCATGAGTGAGTTACATGACATCCATTGGTGATGGATCAGGGAGGTGGGAGGAAGCAAAGTGCAGGCGGAACCTCTGGGATTGGATAAAAAATAAAATGATAGACCCATCTTTTACATGATTAACAGTCTACAATTAACATGATAACAATAACGATGAGGGGGTCTGTGGTCCCCTTCTGGTGCGGTGCCTGTACTTTGAGGGAAGTTGGGGGGGGATTCAAAGGAAGGAAATTGGACCTTCCAAATGTATGTTATTGTAGATGCAAGAAGACAACAGACAGGCTCAGTTAAGGTAAAAGTTAACCTTTGTTAGGGAAAAATACTGGCCCAGGACGTGAGTACCCACTATGAACTGATTTTAGTTACCAAATTTTAATCTCAGACCATCCTCTGTGGTTAGTTTTGGTCTCTGAGTCTGTAAGGCTGCCACGCAGGCCTCCCCTGAGCTTGTCAGGTTTCACATGTGGCCCCTTTTCTTCCACGCTACTCTGCCTCCAGGGACATTAACCCTGACCTTATGCTTATTTTTTCCATCTGTAAAATGAGGGGAGTCTGAGTAGTATTATATAAATATTTTCTAGGTATAAAACATTTTGATTCTCAAACCACCGAGGTTCTTTAAAGGTGAGAGAGATTTCAAAATGAAGCTGCCTTTTCCCCTGAAGTCTTCAGAGTGGTTTACTCTGCAGACTCAGGGAAAAAAATTGTTTTAGAACTCTATAGCTCTCATTTCCCTGTCTCACTGTCTTTATTTCATCTCTGCACAGCAGAGAAACATTGATTCAGGCAAGCACTGGCACACACTGTGACTGCTCTTAACTCCTTGGGCTCTTTAATACAAATATGCGGGCTAGACCACGTAACATAGAAACATTTAACTGTCTGGCTAGGAGGCCATGATATGTGGGATGATTCAATAAGACAAAGGCCTTTTTGAAGCGCACGATGCTTATTAGACAACCAACTTTTATTTGAAACAGACTGTTATTCCCATTTTATCTTTGGCGAAGCTAATTCTTTGCCTTTTGTTTGAAGGGGTGAAGGTCTCTCGGAACTGAGATCTTCTAAAATCCAATAATTCATATTTTCTACCTAGAAAGTATTTGCTTGTTAAGTCCATCAAGTTGTAGAGTAAATGCATAAGCGCGACATTATCCAGAGTCAGCTTAGTTGTACCTGCACCGGTTACACTGGGCTCACAGTATGAATTTTAATCAGCCCCTATGTGTCATCAACACTGGGTAAGAAAATTCTAACTTCTCTTTTTTTCCCCTTAAAGCATATGATGAAGCTTTTGCCGAATTCCAGAGATTAAAGTAAGTCTTTTTTCCCAGCAAATTCCATGTGCATGCATTAATTTCCCTGGAACATGGGGTGTGCTGCTCCCCCATCTGAATGACAGAGAGGGCCTTTCATGGCCACGAGTGCAGCAAAAGCGGTGTTCCCCCATGCTCTGAATAGCCAGCTCTCCCTGAGGCAATGAAATGCAGTCAAGGTTAGCTGCTCTGAAATAACGTTAAAACCAAATTCTTCTTTGTTTCTATGTTTGTTCGTTTCTCTCAACCACAGACAAGCTGCCATTGCCGAGAAAAGTAAGTAAATCCCCTGTCTGTTTATTCCTGGCATAGTTTCGAAATATAACTTTTATTTTTCTATTATAACTTCAGATGGAGGAGAATGAAAGTGTTTTTCTTTCTTTTTTAAAAAAATCTTAGGTGTTCTACATATGTTTTCATTTAGTCTCTTAAGTAAGAATGTCTATGAAAAGAAGGTCTCAGGTTATGGAATAAGAATGTCACCCAGCTCTTAACTTGAGCCAGCTATGTGGGGAAATCTCTGGGCCGCACCTCACACAGTAGATTGTTAATCACTTACAGCAGGCACAACGTATCAGAAATATTTACATACATTAAAGAAAAAAAAGAAACAATCTTTGTAAATTGTAAGTCACAATTTAAGTCACTGCCACTTGTAAGACTTGTAAGACTTGTAAGTCACTGCCACTGGTCCTCTAACCAGCACTCCACACGTTCCCAAGAGCCCCTGTGGGAGAAAAGATTCTGAGCACGGCCTTCCTGCCTTTCACTGCACTGGACACAGTCCAAGTGAACACACACCAAACTGTCAAGTCTACCCAGAAATGAGCTCACTACTAAGTTCTATCATCTGTTTGCTTCACACACAGATGTTTTGAGAAGCACTCAGATAATCTTATAGCATTCCAGAAGTCACAGACTAATTTGCCATAATAATTCAGGTTCTTTTGCAGTGTGGGAGGCAGAATTTGAAAGTTGTTGAGGGTTAAGATTGTAGAGTTTGTCCTCAACTGAAACGGAAGGGAACAGGGGGAGGAGCAGGAAGTGAAGTCGTCTGTCTGCCCTTCCGTGGCTCCAGGTCACTCAGGATGGAACTTTTCACCTTTGCCATGTACTGCTATCCTCCCCACTCTCTGCTCTTTCCCTCTCCCTCCCTGCTCAGGCCCTGGGTTTGTGAGGTGGCTGCTGGTGGTGAATGGGGCATCCCAGACACCTGCACCAGGGACATACTAGGGAGTGTCCAAGCAACAGGGCATTTTTCTTTTTGGTGCTGAGTATGTCCCTCCTGCTCCTGGGCACACAAGCAAAGCCAGGACTGCAGCAGTTGACAGCCACTCCCTATTCTTGAACTCTCTTGTGGGCAAGGAGCCTGACCTTCCCTCTAGTTCCTGAGCATTTACCTAAGATCACTGGGTCACAGGAGTTTAGAGCTGGAAGAGATGTTAGAGCTCTTCTAGTTTCATGTTTTTAAACTTTTACAAACCACAGGACATTTAATTCAAACAAAATCATCCACACAAACCCAATATATAAAACAGGTAAAGGCTGAGTTATCTTCATTGGCTCCCTGACTCAATACCCCATCTTGACCTCCTCTCAGACCCCTCAGAGGAATCCCATAGATACTGGGCATATGTCTAATGCAACCCCCTCCCATCTACAGATGAGGAGACTGAGGTCCACTCTGTGGACCTCACTTAATGCAACTCGCTTAATATAACACATCAAGTGGCACAGGAGACAGGTTGGGCTTATACGGTGCAGTGGAATCAACAGAATGCAGTCAACACCAGTCAAAGCTTTAGCCTGACTCAATGGAGAAGGGGATTGTAGAAATATGGACCTAGAGTCACATACTAATAAAGTAGGCCTGAAAATGAGACAGTAGTGGCCACTGAGTTAGTGACAGAGAGGGAGACTTTGAGTGAATTAGAGAAGGTGTCCTTCCCTGGGGCCGAACCAGTCACACACAGAGCACATGGCTTGGGTGGGGAGTCAGCACTGGATTTCAGCATTTTTGCTGTACTTTGTACCCTCACCTAGGGGCCTTTATACTCATGGCCATAGATAGCAGCCCTGTATAGTGCTACCGAGAACTACCAGGAGACAGGAAAGGAAAGGTTTGTATGAAAGACCTGTGTAAAGAAAACCCACATCTGCAAGAGCCTCCCCCCGGGGAGGCTTTATCTCCCTGGCATAAAGCTTCCAATTATGCAACCTTTTATAATCATAGGGAAGCCCATAAAAGAGGCCACACTAAGCTTGGAGGTTGTCCATAGGGATCTGCTCAGCCTCCTCGCACTGAGCCCCACTGAGCTGCAACAGGGCCAGCCCTGAAAATAGCCGTGAGAATTATAGAGCAGGTCTTGATCCAACAACACAATCTCAAGCTGACATTTTAGGTACAGATAGAAGCAACTGCACACATGAGTTCTGTGTGTGAAGAAGGATTAACATTCAGCATTGCCGGATCATTTTTTTAATTTTGCATGTTAAAAGCAGGTATAAAATAACTGAAAAGAGAGGGAGACTAAATTGGAAAATTAGTTCCCTGGAGTGGTTTTGTAAGGGTAATTGCTGATGCTCAACATTTCAGTGATTAACCAAAAGTGCCTGTACTTGCAGATCGTGCCCGGGTGATGGGCGGTCTCCCTGATGTGGTCACCATCCAGGAAGGCAAGGTAAGCATGGAGCACTCTTGTCTCTGCTTCTTCCACTCTAGGAATGGGTTCTGGTGCCTCAAACTTTGGGGTTTTTTTAAAGACACATCCCACCGTCCTCATCTTATGCCATGGCTGCTATGCTTGACTTCAGAATAGCCAAATACAAAGTTAAAAATTCAGTCATTTTTCCAATCATCTTAATATTTTGGGTCAAGCATCAGGATGCAAGTTTGTCTGATGTGCACACATGTAGACCACTTAGTCTCTGTCCAGAGACCTTTAAAATCACAGGAAGAGAAACCTGTTCAATCATAACTATATGACAAATGTAGCTGAAGAGAGAAGCATCCTCTAACGCCTCGTGGAAAATGGGCTGTCCTATTAACTGCCTTCCCTTTGAAGGGAAACCTGCTGCTCTATGAATGTTTATAGGCTCTGTTTCACCTGAAAACTGATTTCTCTCCATTAGTTATAAACTAGGATTTCCTGGCTCCATAATAACCTCTGAAAAGCAATGAACATAATTTTTAGCCTGTTTCATTGAAACAAATTTAACATACCAGTCATACGGCTATGGGTATTTATAGTAGATTAAAACCTTTTCCCACTTCAAAATGGTCATGAAGACATATGATGGCTGACTGGAACTTGGGTGATAAAACAAGGCATATCTAAAAGCTTTAGAAAGAGGTAGGATTCATCCAGCTGTGTTTCTTCATCAGTAAACATATGAGCACTATTGCTGATAAGCTCAACTGTTGCAGGGTTACTTTTGTTTTCAAACTCTGTTTCCCATTTTCCTCATCTAATGAGGTTCAAAATATTCAACTCACTGGGTCATAGTGAGAATTAAGAGACAGAATATTTGTGAAAATACTTGGTGATCTACAGTATGGTTAATAGTTTTCCTTGACATGAAAGGTATTTAGTTTTGTTTGGTTTTCTTAAAACTTTTAACCTGTAAGTAATCACAGTTTCCAAAATCATATCCCTGGTCCACTTGAATAAATTTATGGCAATGTTTTGACTCAAATTTTTTTGAAATGTATATGTAGAATAATTCAGTGAGAAATGCTAATTATTCAGGGAAAGAAAACAGATTTCTTAATCTATACAATTTCATGAGATACTCTTATAGAAGAGGTAACAAGGGATGATATAAGACTCTTTAGAAGAATACATAGAAGGATATCATTTTTTCTGTATATTGTGAGCCTTAGTTCTTTTCCTTATAATTACTGGACTTTAGGAACAAAAAAATGCAAGAATTGAATTTAAAATGTGAAATAAATTCAACATTATTGGCCATCAGGGAAATGCAAATTAAACCACACTGAAAAATCATAACACACCTATCAGAATTGCTGGAATAAAACATAGTGAAAATAACAAATGCTGGTGAGGATGCAGAGAACTGAATCACTTGCACATTGCTAGCGGAAATGTAAATCAAAATTGTACAGCCATTCAGAAAAACAGATTAGTGATTTTTTTCAAAAATTTTTTAACCTCACCTGAGAACATTTTTTCATTGCTATTAGAGAGAGAGAGAAAGAGAGAGAGAGAGAGAGACATGTCAATGTGAGAGAGAGACATTGACTGGTTGCCTTCCATACCTGCCCTGACTGGGCATCAAACCCACAACCCAGGCATGTGTCCTGACCGGGAATCAGACCCACAACCCTTTGGTTACAGACAATATTCCAACTGACTGAGCCACATCAGCCAGGGCAACAATTTTTTTTAAATGATAGATGCCTTTACCATATGACCCAACAATTGCACTCCTGGGCATTTATCATAGAGAAATTAAAACTTATGTTCACACAAACACCTGTTTTTATGTTCACATAAAAACACAAATGTTTCTAGCAGCTTTGTTCATAATAACTCAATACTGTTAACAGGCCAACCTTTATAGGTTTGACCATACTATGGCACAGTGCTCAGTGATAAGAAGGGACTGCTTATTGATACCTGAAATAACTTGGATGAATCTGCAAGGAATTATGCTGAGTGGAAAAGGCAGTCCTGAAAGATCACATACTGTATGATGCTATTTATATAATGTTTTTGAACTTACAAAATTTGGGAAACAGAAAATAGATTAGTCATTGCCAGGAGTTAGAAATGAGGCTGGGAGGTTTGGGGAGGTGAGGAGAGGGTGGTTATAAAAGGTGACACGAGAGATCCTTATGGTGATAGAAATGCTCTGTATCCTAACTGAGGTGGTGGAAATGTGAACCTAGAGAGGTGATGGGATTAAATGGAAGTAAACATACACAAATAAAAACAAGTACAGTAAAACTAGGAAAATCTACGTAAGATCAATGGACTGTACCAACATCAATATACTGGTTGTGCTATTATACTATAGTTTTGTAAAATGTAACTATTGGGGGAAACTGAGTAAGATACACAGTATCTCTCAATTACTTATTACAACTGTATATAAACCTCTAATTATCTTAAAATTTTTTCAGCAAAATGTTAGGTAAAGTAAAACTATAGGCATAAACACTTATCTTTAAAATAAGAGGGTTTCAGCACAGACAGTAATATAATAAAATATTAGGAAATAGGAATACATTTTGGTAAAGCACCTTTGCAACTGCAACAGATTGGGTAGGGTTTGGGGGAGAAGTAAAACAAGGAAGACGGGATTTGAAAATTAGTCACATTATCTGAAACAGCTGTTAGGATTCTGCTGCGGAGCTCTGTGGCACCGCTAAAATGCAAATGCAAGCAGGTGGTGATTATGGCAATGAGATTTCTCTACTGAGACATCATCCAAAATGCCACATTAGAGCAAAAAGCATCTATGTGTTTATGAAAGAGAAAATGGAGATGGGAACTGGAAGCAAACTCAGTGTGGTTTTGATGATAAGTGTTCCCAAAGTCAGAAAGCCAACACCCTAAAGAAACCTCCTCAGGTTTGATTTTGAACTGTAACTCACACAGGTGCGTGTACATACCAAGTTCCAACCCTCCTCTGGGAGGTTTATATTTATCCTCCACTGAGTCATGCCATACCATCAAAGGATCCTTTAAGTTGGAACATTATATCTGATATCTCTCCTCTCGTCTCATAAAAACTGTTTTGCAGGCACTTAATCTCACTTGCACCGTGTGGGGTGACCCGACTCCGGAGATCTCCTGGTTGAAGAATGAGAAGTCCCTGGCCTCAGATGACCACTGCAGCCTCAGGTTTGAAGCAGGCAAGACTGCCTTCTTCACTATCAACGGGGTGACCACTTCTGACTCTGGCAAATACGGGCTGGTTGTGAAGAACAAGTACGGCTCGGAGACAAGCGACTTCACCATCAGTGTGTTCATCCCAGAGGAGGAGGCGAGGATGACTGCTGCGAAGCCTCAGAAAGGCGCTAAGTCCAAGTGACCTGGCACCGCTGGGCGGGCATTCGAGGGGATCTGCGCTGGTCCGCCTTGTGCTGCTAGTGTGCAAACGATTTGGGTGAAATGTAAGGAAGTCTTTGTGCTTTCAACTCCCTATTGTTACTGGCTTGGGGGGACATTGTCAAATCTTTTATTCGTATTTTAAAAAGCACCAACTAACATTTTAATAGTTAAGACAATATTGGTAGCACAAATATTAGGAACTGGTTTTAAGCAAAAGACCAGAAAAAAAGAGGGACATTGAATGATGATCAGGAAGCAGATGAATGTGTTGAGGAGCAGAATTTGGACTTGGTTCAACTTTTACCAGTAAATTCTCATGGATTGCAGTTAAGCACCAACATGGAGTCAAGACAGTGACTAGTTAAGCAAACAAGTATGTTTCATGTGTTGTTGAGATAGTGGTGTGCATTTCTGTTGGTGGCCTTTTGATTTGGAACCTCCTCAGTATTAATAAAGAGTCCTCCACTTTCCTCTTCCTCATCAGCATTTCTTCCATTGTTCTTTTGTGGCTGGTCTCAGCTGGATGGCCTCTGCTGCATCTCTCTCGTCACTTTGTGTAGCTCGTCTTCCAATTTAAATTCCTTTGAGTTAAAGCAGTACCTTTATAGCAGGATCTGATAAGTTATCCAAGGTCAATTGAAGTTCAGAGGTGTGAAATTGCTCTGTCACTGTATACCTGTTAGCTTACTGGACAATCAAGTTGATTCCATTGTTAAGACACCCAAAGTAATTGAAGGTAATATGTCAATTAAGGATAAGAGGGTGTGGGGTGTCTAATATTAGAACTGGTGCCTAAGCTCCCACAGCTAAAAAAACAAACAACTCTCACTCTAAATTGAGACCTGCCAACTTTGGGGCCTGCCCCTCCTTGCAGGACATGACTACAGGCAGCATTCTGCTCTAGGGAATGTGGTTCTTCCCCCACCTGTACTCCCAACCATCACTACCCACCCCCCTACACACACACACAATCACTCACACATTACTGGACAAAAATAGTAATGGTAAAAGGTGGTCTCCCCCTCCTTCTTCCTGCCAAGGGTCAGGGACAGGACAACAGACTCCCTTATACAGTTTGGAGGGGCACTTACTCATCCCCTCCTTGCAAAGTTTGGGCTGGAAATTATGTCTTATCTGACTGTCGCTGATTCCCTTGTCCAGCCCAGTGCCCCATGCCGTTGCCGTGACATTGAACACTGGGCAGGAACAAGATGCTGTACTCCCACTTACAGGCATGGCAAGTTGATGAGGTCCCTGAGGGTCACGAGGACCCTATGGAGAGTGGGTGACCTTAAGCAGTCTAAAGTTCTCCACCTTCTTGGCAAGAGAACTCCTTCTGACAAGTGGACCCAAAAAGGATGGACACAAGGAGAGGAGCTGAAGAGAGGAGAAAGGGTGAAGCAGGGGTGGGTCTGCGAGTCAAGGAACTGTGCGGGTGAGAGGCCCCTAAGACTTTACACAGAACCCGAGCATACCTCTCATGAGACCAACAACAGAGTCCCAGTGTTGGGAGAAGGGAGGGAGGGACTTGTATACTACCCACCTCTCAATTCCATGCTACCCACCCCTCAATTACATGCCACTGGAGCCCAAACTGAGGATGAAACAGAAGGATTTGGATCCAATGAAAACACAATTTTAGAACAATGTGTTCTAAATTCTGAAATTGTTGTGAGAGTTTAGGAAATCAAAGTGGGTTATCATTAAGATCCCTGCCATCCAGCATAGACTTGATGGAACACAGTGGCAGTGAGGAAGGAAAATAGTTTTCATATTCATAGCTCTATAAGCTGAAACTACTCAAATGGTTATAAGAATGATTCCTGCCAGTATAATGACCAACCAAACTAAATCAGCTATGATTTGATGGCTTAGTTAAAAATCTGCTGTTTCTACAGGGAATGACACTGAAGATCCTTTTCACTTATGAGAATCTGTGACCTGCTAAATGTGATTTATTGGTATGCAGAGCATCATGTGGGAGCATAGGAAAGACTCCTCAGAGTTTAGTTTTATAAAATTGATATTCAATATATTAAAGTAATAAATTTAAAAATCCAGATATTCCTAAATTCTTGAAGTTTAGCTTTAAAATCTCATTTTTTTTCATTTAAAAATCTAGCTATTGAAAGAAATTATTGTAAGGGTATTTTATAGTATAACTAAATTCTATTCAACTTGTTAAACTGTATTTAGTAATGAATATATTTGCTTTCCATTTTAAATACTATTATTGTCTGACTTACCAAACAAAAACTTTGTAAGAACTTAAATAACTTTAATAACCTATAAAATTAAGTACATAAATATGGAAAATTTTGAGTTCTTTTAAATGTACCTATTTGTATACAGACTTAGTAAGACCTCAATAAAAATCACAATAATTAAACATTTTAAGTGAGAATCATAAAGCTGAGCTATTACTAGAATAAAGTTTGTGAAACCATTATAAGTACATAGAAATCAAATATGCAGGGATGCTATAATCAAAAATAATAACATTACCCAGCTACAGCCCCTGTGTCCTGGGACTAGAGTTTTAATACCCATGCCAGAACAAGAGACATGCGCTTATTGTTCAAAATGGAAGCTGCACACCAAGATCTCAGCACAAAGCTGGCATGCACAAAGGATAGACTACTTTTAAAAAATGGGAATAATAAAAATATCACCAACTGACATGAAGAAGCTATATGGAAGTTTGCCATCTGGTTCTGAGTAGAAAAAGAAAGTTAACAATTCCTCATGCCAGTACTGAATACTCGTGAGGTCCAAATTTATAGTACCACATGGTGTAGGAACCCCAAGCCAAGAGTTCCCATAAAAAAGGCTAATGTATGGGGCCCCAGAGAAGCAAGTGTAAAACTATACTACAAAGGCCTTCTGTGTCTGGTCACAAAGGATTACTGTTATGGAAATTGTCCTCCCACCATAAACAACTAGAAAACCAGGCAAAATATATGGGAAAAAACCTGGGGCATTGGCAGGTCTGTGACCTGGGGAAAGGGAAATAGTAATGAGAGACTATGTTCACCCCAACTTATTACTGGGACACACTGCTCAGGCTGCAGCCAGTGGGAACGACCTGTCAGTCTGGCTGAATTTAGGGGATAAGATTGAAGTTCAAGGAGGCTGAAGTGGCTAGAATTTGTGGGAAAGAATATTAGAAAGAAGGTAGTTGCACGGGGAAGGAGCACCGGACTGCTGCAGATGGGTTTCTGGCTGAGCTGCTTTGTGGGTGGTGGGGAAGAGCCGCTGAGAAGTAGCAGACCAGGAGCTTGCCACTCCCCACATGGGTTGGAAGCAGTTCTCCTTTGCATCAGCTGGAATGAAAAGACTTTGTAATACATGGAGCATTGGGTGGAGTGCTCAGAGGTGTTTCGTGTTAGTAGTGAAGGTAGATTCATCCTAAACTTAAAGCTGCTCTAACACTCTATCAAAACTTAAAAGCAAGCCTCTAAAGGATAAAATATCCAATGGTGTGTCAGAACAAAGTGCAACGCATTTTAAAAGAATACATTTCCGAACAGCGTGAAATTCACAATAGCTGGCATCCAGTAAAAAATCAGCAGGTGTACAAACATGCAAGAAAACATGACCAATGACCAAAAGAAAAGTAAATTAAACATAAGTAAGTCCTGGGGTTGTAGTGTACAGCATGGTGACTATAGTTAATAATACTATATTACATATTTGAAAGTTGCTAAGGGAGATCTTAAGAGTTCTCATCACAAGGAAAAAATATAACTATGTGACAGGATTAACTAAACTTATTGAAGTAGTCATTTCACATAATATATACATATATCAAACCATCATGTTGTACACCTAAAACTAATACAATGTTATGTGTCACTTCTATCTCAATAAAATTGGAAAAAAATCATCCTATATACAAATATTATGGAAGTATCAAGAATAATCAGTTATTAATTTAATCTGCTTATTTAAGCAGATAATGAAAATTCAAAGTAGTTTTTAGTCATTTTAACACTATAATCCCAACAAAAAACGTAAGCATAATTTCAAAAAAAGATGCTTACGTACCTCTTGTAATATGATGACCTATGTGTATATCAGTATTTGTTGATGGTGGCTTATAACTATGTAACTTGAAATGTCATTGCTTTAGTTTTATGCTTATTAACCTGTTTAAGTGAGCAGATTTCTGTAATTTAATAGAATAACACATACTTGGAGAGAAAAGGTACATTAGTAAAAACAAACCCCAAAATGACAGGGATGATGGAATTAGCAGACATGGACCTTAAAATATCTGATAGAACTATATTCTATATTCTTAAGAAGTCTAAGGAAAGACTGGATATATTAAGTATAGATATGGAAGAATACCAAGGCATGTCATAATGAATTTGCTAAAAAACATTGATAAAGAGAAAATCTTAAAAGCAGCCAGAGGGAAAAAAAAAAACATTATGTAGAGCACAGGTGGCAAACACAAGGCCCGTGGGCCGAATGTGGCCTTCCACCTTGTTTTATCCGGTACCTTGTATCTACCCGCTGCAGTGCTGAGCTCTCACTTAACTGTTAAGGAGTAGTTACATTTATACAGTCCTAAAATTACATTCGGCCCTTTGAAGGCAACTGTGAGGCTGATGTGGCCCCTGGTGAAAATGAGTTTGATACCCCTGATGTAGAGGAACGAAAGGGAGAATGACACAGACTTCTCATGAGAAACTATAGAAGCCAGAGGACCATGGAGCAAGCAAGGCCTTTAAAGTGCCAAATGAAAAACAAAAAGCCTCTTTACTGATGACAGCATTCAAAAATTCAGGCAAAATAAAGACTTTATCTGACAAACTAAAGCTGAGCAATCTGCTACTAGCAGATCTGCACTGCAAAAAAATGTTAAAGGAAGTTCTTCGGGCAGAAGGCAAATGGTATGAGATGGAAATTTAGATCAACAACAAATGAAAAATAGCAGAACTGGTAAACATGTGTTTAAATATTAAGTACATTCTTTTCATTTTTAAGGTCTTCTTCTTGCTCCTGAGACCCCTCTGCCAGAGGCAGTCTGGCCCAGCTACATATCCGGAGCATGCATTCCCTCCACACCGACCTTGGCCAATGCTAGGGTTCTCAGGCTTGAGTATCCATCCCATCACAGGGGCTGTGTGGAAGTAGATGCAGGCCCCACCACTGATAGCATGTGCCATCCTCCCTCCCTCTAGTCATAGTAAGTCCAACCCTACTCAGTGCTGAACCACTCAGGAGGATCTTACAGCATCTCTGCGAGAGTGGTGGCCAGGAGATGAGGATGCACATATCAGAGAGACATGTAGGAGTTAAATGGGCAGGACTTGGCTGTGGATTGGAGAGGGATTGGAAGAGAGGGAATTGCTCAGAAGGATTCACTGACCTAGTTGTAGGTCTGGGTAGCTGGGTGGATGTTTGTGTCTTCTGAAAGGGGAGCAGCCCAGAGACAGAAGGAGAGGTGTCTATTGAGGGCAGGGGCTATGACA